GGCTTGGAGGGGGGGGGGGGGGGACCGGGAGCCGGCGCGCGGAGGCTTCGGTCCTGGCAGCAGCGGTGGCTACTCCGACCCCGAGCAGGTGAGGGACGCGGCCCCCGCGGGCGTTAGACCGTGACTCCGCACGTCCGCCCCAGCATCCCTGGAAGTGCACCCCGCCACGTTCCCTGTAGGATTTGGGGCCCATGTAGACCCGCCACGTCCCATATAGCTTTGGGGGCTCGTGTAGACCCGCCACGTTCCATGTAGATACAAGGTTCTACAGACACCCCAGGTTTCTGCTAGCCCCCTGTGGAGACCCGGCTCCTTACAGACGTGGAGTCCCCAACTAGGGGGTCAGTAGCATCCCCTAGATTCCAGGGCCCTGTAGATCCACCACAGGCCCCTAGAATTCTGGTCCCCTTTTAAGTCTCCAGAGATCCCATAGACTGGCTGCTTTCTCCATGGTTTCATGATCATGTGTGACCCACCATGTGTCAGATGGAATCAGGGCCCCTTAGGGAATCACTATATTTTAGGTTCTACAAGTCTCCCAGAGGTTCTTAGAGACCAGGACCATCCATTCAATATCTTATAGACAGCCCTGCAGAGAACCCAGGTGCCCATGCTGCCCCCGCGTGTGCCAGCTTTGCTCTAGGATCTCCACCCCTAGACCTGCCCTGACCCCCGCCAGCTCCATGCACAGAGCACTCCCTCTGCTGGGCCTCAGGCCTTGTCAGTTGCCTACAGATCCATTTTTCAGCTTCAGCCTTTGTGGCAGCCCCTCATCCCCCCTGCCCCCTAAGCAGCCAACCTCGCTCCCCCATCCTCCCTCAGCCCCAACCCTCTGTGGCACAGCGGAGTCCAGCCTGCATTCCTGCCAGGCCACAGTGCCCACATATCCCTGACTTTCCCAGACCATTCTCGTGTGTCTCGGCTTCGGTTCAGATTTTAGTTTCCTAAGGTTGGGGTTCCCCATGCTCCGAAGCAGCACTTTCTGGTAGTTAACTGCATAAACTCTGAAGCCAGACCGCCTGGGGCTGAGTCCTGTTCTGTGCCTTATGAGCTGTGTCTAAGTTTCCTCCTCTGTGAAATGGGGGTGATGATAATGACCTCATGGGGTCGCTGAGAGGATTAAGTCGGTTAATACCTATAAAGCAGTAGTGCTGCCACTTAATGGCACTTAGTGCACATTAAGCCTTAGTCATTATTTCAAGGAGATAATCCTTGCCAAGTGCATGACTCGGGGGCCTGCCTGGCATTCGCTCAGATAACCTGTGCTCTTCTGGAATCTCCCTGCTTCTGTTGAACCTGTCCACTCCTTAGCGGGACGAGCATGGACTCTCCATGTTCATGGTCATGTTTTCCAGCCCAGAAGTCTGAGCTGGCAGCCAGTGAAGGTTTTCCCTCTCTGGTGGGAGTCACGATAGCATGGGCTGCTCGTGGCTATGAGGGTTGAGCTCTGTGTGAGAAGCCCTCGGAGCAGTGCCCGGCACCCTGTAAGTGCTGTGTAAGTTTAGCTCTCATAATAAATAATTACTATTATTTTTCTGCCTTGGTTTGCAATTTTATTTATGTGAACATTTAACAACGCTCAAATCTTAAATTACTCAAATTTGGGTGTTGGACACATACCCTTTATGGAAAAGAATAAAAGTGATGCTGCTCGGGGGAACCCCATGGGATGGCGTTTGGACACTCCAGGAAGCATCATTGTTTAATGATCATAATCAAAATCACAGCTGCCATTTACTGAGGGTTAGGGAGGCGGCCTATGGAAGAGGGGGAAGGGTGGGTGTCAGGCAACTAGGGTTATAAATAGCTCTGGGCTGTGGGGAGAAGTTCCCCCCCCTCCCCCACTGGTCCACCCCACTCTTGTTTCCACAGCTCTTCCCGCCTGACATGGGCTCTTGTGACATTAGTCAGATTAATTAAGGACACAGAAGATATCGGTGGGAAGACACAGAAGTGGAGACTCTAAGGGAGATGACATGGGATATGAGATATGAGACACTGACTCAGAAGTGCAGGGACAGTGGCTACAGAACCCAATGTGGGAAGACAGAGGCAGGGACAGTGAAGGGAAAAGCAGGGAGCAACAGATGCAGGATGGGGTCGGGAGGAGGGAGAGGGGGCAGAGACAGTGGGGAAAATGAGACAGGTCTGAAGGAAGGGAGAGAGAGAATGAGGAAGAGAGGCACAGATGAGGTAGATTCAAGGGAGATATAGCCAGGGAGTGCTGTCTGGAGAAAGGAGAGCCAGCAAGACAGACGGACACAGGCAAGGGAGACAGACCCACCTTGGGGATGAGCTGTCTGAGGACTGTTCCTTGTTTTTCTGGGACTGAAAGCCAGAAATATGTCAGATCCTCGAGGGAAAGAACTCCTGGGTTGGGGTACTCTTGGTCCTTGAGGAAGAAGGGTTCAGAGTTTGTTTTCTTATGCGGAGAGAGTTGGGGGTTGGGGGATTTGCCATTGTGACTTCCTGTCACAGGAAGTGGGGCTGGTGGGTTCAGAGGCAACATCCTGCCCCAAGCCTGTCACAGATCAGAAGAGAGCCCCCACACACCCCATTTATATACCTCCTACCTCCCTTTAACCTTCCCAACTCTGCTGGCCTGCAAGCCCTGCCTCCCCTGGGCCCAGCCCCAAGCCCCTCCTCCCTCGGATCCCAGAGTCTGAGCTCCAGCCCCCTCCTGCATTAGGGACCCCAAAATTGCAGGCTCTCACGGCCACAGCTCTCATGGACCCAGGCTCCTGGGACTCCAGCTTCTCCCCCAACAAGTCTCCCTGTCCTTGGGCTCCCCGCCCTGGCTGGCCTCTGAAGGGCTCTTTGTCGCCACACAGAGGCCCCATTGAGCTGTGGAGGCCCAGATGGGGAAAGGCTGTTTACTCACCTTCACACCTGGGCCAGGAATCTGTGAGTAACCTCCTGTGCCACCTCCTCCCATCGCCTAACCACGGCTCCTCCTCTTCCCCCAGCCCTGCAGAGCCCATGGAGGCAGACAGCGTCGTGGTCCGAGGGGCGGTGAGTGGAGAGAGCCAAGGGGTGAGGAGGTTGGGGGACTGTGAGTGGGGAGCACTGTGGGCTGAAGCCAACCCTCCTCTTCCACAGGCCCCAGGGCCCCCCCGGCCTGGCCTGGTGCCCGTCAGCATCATTGGGGCCGAGGACGAGGATTTTGAGAACGAACTGGAGGCGGTGAGGAGTTGGGAGAGGGAAAGCTTCTGTCCCTGGGGCCCCCGCCCCTCAAATCCCATCCTCAGTGTCCCCTCCCACCTCAGGTCCAGTTCTCTGTCCTCAGATGCTGTCCCGCTGCAGCCTCTCAAAGCCCTTCTCTCTCGTCTTCGTGGTGCCTCCTTCCTCGTCTCCCCATCCCATTCTTGATCCCAGCCTTTTTACTCTAACCCCGATTTTTATCGCTGCTCCCCAATTACAGCAGAGAACCCCTTCCCATCTCTTGTAATTTATGTCCTCATCTCTCACCTGCCTTGCTGCCACCTCTACAGCATAGACACCTCCTCCCAGCTTGGATCCATCAGGAAGTGCCAGGGAAGGGGCAGGGTCAAGCCCAAGGCCCCCCTTCTCCCCACAGTCTCACCCCCATTCCCACCCTCAGAACCCAGAGGAGCAAAACAGCCAGTTCCAGAGCCTGGAGCAGGTGAAGCGGCGTCCAGCCCACCTGATGGCCCTCCTGCAGCACGTGGCCCTGCAGTTCGAGCCAGGACCCCTGGTGAGGATGGGGCTGGGTAGGCACAGGCAGGGTGGGGCTGGGCCAGGCCAGAGTGGTCAGTGGGTTAGGCCAGTGAAGATGAGCCAGGAGGGTCTAGAAAATAGATCCAGAAAGCAGATCTAGAATGAGGGAGCCCGAGGGACCACTGTGTGGTCCAGACAAGATTGCAGGTGCCCGTATGAATCTCAGTGAGCTTGGAGTGCAGGCTGGGAGAGCACACACAGCAGGGCCATGAGAGAGCAACAGAATCCCGGAGCCGGGGAGAAGCCATGCCCATCCCCTCCTGTGCCTGTGGCCGTGTCACCCATCCCTGCGGACTACCCCGTGGACTCCAGAAATTGAACCCAGTCAGTCATTGCGGGCTGGCGCATCCATCAGCCTCCTCAGATCCAGGTGGTGCACCAGCCTTGATTCAGAAACAAGCAACCACCACAAGCAGCCCTCGAGGCAGATAATTGGCGATCCAGAAACCTGTGTTGGAAACACCTGCGAGCTGCAGGTGCAGAGCCATGCTGTGCAAGACACCTGGGAGTCCAGAGGACCCCGCGGGTGATGTAGGAAGGAAGAAGCTCTGTGGACAGCAGCCCCTCCCAGGAAGCCCCAGTGCAGCTCTGCACGGGCTGAGAGCAGGGTTAGCCCAGGGCACTGGGCTGGACTGGAAATGCCCAGCAGGTCCCTCCGGAAGACGAGGGGACTGCAGAAGTGCTAGGGAGGGGCGCCCAGGGGATGCAGAAAGAAGGGCACGTAGACTGACACTGAGGCTTCAGAAACCGGCAGGAGATTAGGAAGTTGCCTTCTCTCCAGAAAAGTGCAGACCCTCGCCTGGTGCATGGAGGTTCCGGCCTCCTGAGCCTGGGGTGTCTAGAACTGAGCGCTGGGGACTCAGCCATGTCCTTCCACAGAGTAGAACCCGCGGCCTGAGGGCCAGGGCTTGGCTCAGGTGACCCAGAGGCCTCGGCATTTTGAGACTTGTCCTCATGCCGTTCCCTCACTTCGCCAGCTGGGGGAGCAGCGGAGGGATCGTTGTGGTCCCGGGCTGCTTCCCAATGGCCTTTCATGGAGTTTTTGCCTTGGGTTGGGGTGGGGGTGATATATTTGTTGAAAGTGTTTACGGAGTCCCATCCCCAATGGGCTGAGTCCTTAGTGCACTGAGACGAGAGCCCCCCAGGAGTCAGGACAGGTCGGAGTCCCCACTGCATTGCCAGCATCTCCCAGCACAGGGCGGTCCAGGGAGGTGCTTCATGAATGAATAAGTGGGCCCCCCTCAGCAGGGCCTGCTGTACACTGGGCTTGCCTGAGACACAGATGAATCAGCACCTATACCCCCGCCCCCGCCCCCCCTAACCCTCAAGTCGCTCACAGCATCTCTAGGCAATGGAGTCTAGGGAGGTAGGCTGCCTGGGTTCCAGCCCCAGCTTTGCCTCTTGCCGGCTGTGTGAGCGTCAGTAAACTTGAGCTCAGCTTTCTCATCTGTGAGTTGGGACGACGTCCCTATGAGCCAACAGGTTTGTGTTTATAAAGGGTTTAGAAGGTGTCGGGTGGTAGTGGCAGCAGCGGGCAGGCAGAGCCACAGAGAACCATTCCACAGGAGAGAAATTACCAGATGCTCATGGTTGCCCCAGGGAGGGCTTTGAGAGAGGCAGGCCTGGCCTGGGTGTGGGGCTGTGGAGATCAGGGAGCACACTTCGAGAGGACGTGAGCCCCGAGGTTTTCCAAGCGGAGCTGCGGTTCGGGTGGCCGGGAGGGAGAACAGGTCACCTCTGTCTCCCCAGCTCTGCTGCCTGCACGCGGACCTGCTGGGCTCTCTGGGCCCTAAGGAGGCCAAGAAGGCCTTCCTCGACTTCTACCACAGCTTCCTGGAGAAGACCGCGGTGAGACACCTTCAGGGGCCCGGTCCCCTCTGCCTCCCCGCCCCCGTCCTGCTGAGGGCAATGGGAAGGACAGCCTGGGCAGGGAGCCCCTGTGCCAGCCTGGCCCTCCTCCCGCCGCTCCTCCCTCAGACCACCATTCCTCAGGGCACCTAGGCTGCCATTCCATCACTGCCCAGTCCTCCCCTTCACTCCATCCTCTCTCCTGAGCAGGTTCTGCGGGTGTCTGTCCCTTCCGCTGTCGCCTTTGAACTTGGTAAGGAGAAGAGAGGGGACTTTAGGATGAGGGAGGGGGTCTAGCAGGGGCCAGGCCTCGCGGGAGGCCCAGGGCGGGAGGCCACACACCGTGCTCTCGGTCAGTGGAGATTCCTTTCTTCCTCCTGAAGAAGCAGCCCAAGGAAGCATGACTGCTGGAGTCCGAGGGTGGGTGGGGAACCAAGGCCCGGGAAACTGGCCCCCAGCCTCACCCCTATCCCTGCAGACCGCACGCGGCCTGACCTCATCTCCGAGGACAGCCAGCGGCAGTTCGTGCAGGAGGTGGTGCAGAGCCAGCAGGCAGCCATCAGCCGGCAGCTGGAGGACTTCCGATCCAAGCGGCTCATGGGCATGACACCCTGGGAGCAGGAGCTGACCCAGCTGGAGGCCTGGGTGGGGCGGGATCGCGCCAGCTTCGAGGCCCGGGAGCGGCTGGTGGCGGAGCGGCTGCTGGCCAACTTGGAGGAGATGCAGTGAGTGGGCCAGCCCCTCGCCAGCTGCCCCATCCATTTCAGGGCTCCCTCTGCAGCTCCACATTCATTTCTTAGCATCTTCCCTTGACTTCTGGGTCCTACAGCCCTGGCATTTTAGTTCATCTGGTTTTTCATCTTCTCTTCCTAGCGGTGGGGTCTCCCAGTTTCCAGGCCTGTCCAAGGCCTCTACTCAGGCCTGGCACTTGGGTCTTGTCCTTGTCACTCCTGTCCTTGGCTGCACCCGGATGAGATCATCTCTCTCCTTCCCCGTTGCTTCGGCAGCGCCCTCTCTGCCGCTCCACTGTCCTGCCCCAGCTTCAGAGGGACAGCCACTGGACATTTGTGCTGGGTAGACAGGGACCCCAGGCTTAGCAAGCTTGTCTCTCTTTTCCTTCTTCACAGACATACCATCTCTACCGATGAAGAAAAGAGGTGATGGAGGCAGAGGACAGCAAGACAGGCGTTTTAGTCTCCTGGGCCCCAGGGAGGAGGCTGGGGCGTGGGGTCCGGGTTCAGCCACAACTCTGGTCCTGTCCCCTGGAGCCCTCGCCCCTTCCTGAGATGTGCAGCAGGAAGTGGTGTGGGGTTGGGGTGGGAAGCGAACTCGGAGGGTCAGGCTGTGGGGACGCAGTGTGCAGGTCAGCGTGTGAGGTCCTTACTGTCCCCTCCCCACAGTGCCGCTGTGGTCAACGCCATCAGCCTGTACATGCGCCACCTCGGGGTGCGGACCAAGAGCGGGGACAAGAAGACGGGGAGGAATTTCTTCCGGAAAAAGGTGCTTCCCTGAGCGCTCAAACCTGGACCTTTCCTCCCCAGAGAGCCCGTGGGAGCCTCATGACTCTGCCCCTGCCCAGCTCCTCTATGTGAGTGGCTCAGAAATACCACCCCTCTGCCCTCCCCCACCTCTCGCAGGTGAAGGAAAACCGGCGCTCAGATGAGCCCACCAAGACCAAGAAAGGACTGAGCAGCTTCCTGGACGCTGCCCGATGGAACCGGGGAGAGCCCCAGGGTGAGGTGCCCAGCCCGCCCCCCCTGACTTCCCCACACCGCCTCTCCCACCACACCCACCACTCCGCCTCCCCGCAACACACTGCCTCCCCCCACCACACCCAACACACCGCCTCCCCCCAACTTAAGGTCCCATTGGTCCCGTCTCTCTTTTCAGCCCCTCCCACCACACCCAACACACCGCCTCCCCCCAACACACTGCCTCCCCCACCACACCCAACACACCGCCTCCCCCTATCTTAAGGTCCCATTGGTCCCGTCTCTCTTTTCAGCCCCAGATTTTCGACACCTCAAAACGGAGGCTGATGGTAATGTTCCTGAAGCCAGAGCATCCATTTTGGGAACCTAAGAGGGGAAGATGGGTCTGAGGGCGGAGGGGGCCGGGGGCTGGGCTCCTGGGTCTGCAGGAGGAGGGGGGCCTCCCGGGTGGAGAGGAACGGCTGGAGCACAGCATCTCGATGCCCCGGCCGCTGTGGATTAGTTACTGGATCTCATCTCCCCCCTTCTCCCTTAATGTCTCCCCAGCTGAGAAGCCAGGCCTCACAGAACGGAAGGGAGGCCTGGGGGTGCCCTCCCGGGACCGGAATGTTGGGGTCCCTGGGCAGGACTCCCCTGGAGTTTCACTGCAACCTGTGTCCGGGGACAGTCCTGACCGGGAACCAGGTGAGTCTGCTGGTCCCCATGGCAATACCCCCCTCAGATCTCCCCAAATGTCCCATTCTGCTCCCAGTCACCAGTGCTGTTCGTAAAGCCACCCTCCTTCCTCGGCTTTCCTCCCAGGCTCTGACCTCTGTCCTGGTGATGTTGCCTACATCCTTGGACTACATTTCCCATCACCCCCGTGGGTTCATTTCCCAGAACCCTCTCTGAGTACATTGCCAATCAGCCCCCTTAGATGGTGAGCCGCCAGCCCCATGAATTTCATTTCTCACAATCCTTGTGTGGCGCTCAGGCCCTGGGACCTCAGCTGCTTGGCCGGGCCCAGGTTCAAAGCCCAGCTCTGAGGCTTGCCTTTGCTGTACCTTGGCAGTCATCCCCTCTCTGAGCCTCAGCTCCTCATCTCTAAATGGGGTGTATGTGTCCTCTTCCCGAAAGTCCGTGCTGAGGGTCAGGCGAACAAATGGATATGGAGGCTTCGAGCAGAGCATCCAGTCTCCCCACCAGTTCTGTGGGCCCCAGCTGTGTTCTCAGAGGCCTTTCCGTCTGTCCGTCCCCCATGAGTGTACAGAGCAGCCACTTGGTGTCTGCCAGGCACTAGATGGGGCAGTCGGGGATGGTCTCCACCCCTCATTCCACGGCGGAAGAAACAGACCCCCAGAGCGGAGTCTCTGTCAAAGGGCCTCCCAGCCAGCTCTGCTCTCCCCCGGCCACAGGTGAGGCCTCCCCGGAGCTGGGGGACCCGCCCCCGCAGGGCCCCGCCAGCCTGGAGCCCCCAGCGCCCCTGGAGAGCACCGAGGAGGGTCCTGATACAGAGAGGTACCCAGGCTGGGGTGCTGAGCGCAGGAATCGGGCCTGGGCGGATGGGCGTGGGGGTCTTGCTGCCATTTGCACCTGCTGTCCCCAAGCCACCTTCACTCTGCCCTGCTCTCCCTTTCTATCTTCCCTCTTTCCTTCTTCCCCCTTTCGTCATCTTTCATTCCTTTTTCCTTTTTTCCCTCTTCTTTTTTATAATTATTTCTCCTTCCTCCTTCCTCTTTCCTTTCATTTGCCTCTGCTCCTCCCACTCTTTTCCTCCTCCTTCCCATGCCCTTCACCCCTTAACTGGCCCCTCTCCCCTCACCCCTTCACTTTCATCCCTCCCTCTGCTCGTTTAAGCCTCAGCCCTGCGGCCTTGCTCCTGCTTTCTGGTGCCCCTTCCCTCAGCCCCCCAGTCCTCTGTGCTCCATGCCTGGGGGCCCTGTCCCCCTCACAGTTGGGGGGGCAGGCTCTGCCCCCTGCCTGTCCTTGTGCAGCCGCTTTGGGGACCCTTTGGTGGATGGGGGAGGTGAGTTGGGTTCCATTCGGGTCCACCTCTGACCCTGTGCCCCTCTCTCCCCAGAAAGTGGAAGAGGTGGGTGCCTGGGCCTTGGGTCATGGGGCAGGGCTAGCCCCTCCCCCATTTCTCCCAGCCCCTCCCCTCTCCCCATGGGCCACCCACTCCCCTTCACCCCTAAGAGGGGTGGGTGGGGACATCACCCTCCCAGCCAAAGAGCTAAGTATTAAAATCCCCCTTCTCCCACCCCCAACTCCTGGCTCTGCCCCCACCCCCACCTCAGGGAAGGGAGGGGTCAGTCCTGAGTTCCACACTGGGTTCCCCTCCCTTCCCCACCAAGTTTCCGTATCCTTCCTGACCACCCCCACTGAGCACCCCTATATGCCACTGCTCCTTCTGACTCCTCTCTTCTGTTGCATGTTTGATCTCTGTCCTGGTCCCCGTCCTTGTCTCTCCCTGTCCCCGTCCTGGTCTCTCCCTGTCCCTGTCCTGGTCTCTCCCCATCTGTCCCTGTCCTGGTCTCTCCCTGTGCCCATCCTGGTCTCTCCCTGTCCCTGTCCTGTTCTCTCCCCGTCTGTCCCTGTCCTGGTCTCTCCCTGTCCCCATCCTGGTCTCTCCCTGTCCCTGTCCTGTTCTCTCCCCGTCTGTCCCTGTCCTGGTCTCTCCCTGTCCCTGTCCTGGTCTTTCTTCGTCTCTGTCCTTGTCTTGGCCTCTGCCTGACTCTATCCTTGGCCTCGGGGTCCAGGCTATCGGGGCGTCTGGGGCGCTCGGAGAGCCTGCGGGTGAGTGACCGCCGCCGGCCTTCCCGGGGCAGCCTCGGGGCTAAGGGCCGGGGTGGGGGCCGCTCCCGGAGCGACGTGGACATGGACCCCAGCTCTGCCACGGCCGTGCTTGGCCCTGCCCGACGAGCCACGTACGTCACTCCAACACCCCGCCCCAACCACTGAGTCAGCCTGGAGAGTCTGGGAGGATGGGGGGCAAGGGGGAGGGTCAGTGACAGAGTCACAGAGAACTGGGTATCGATGCTGAGGTCACTGAAGGCCTGCAGTGGTTCCAGGAGAGGGTAGGACGGTTCTTTCTAGAAATCTGGGCTGCTCTGCAGCATGGGCCACCTGGAGGCACAGATGCTGAAGACAAGTGGGGGGAGGTGGGGCGGGGTGGACACTAGGAGTCACGTCTCCTCTCTGGGCCACCCTAAGCCGAGCCTTGACCAGGCCTCTGTCCCACAGCCCTGAGCCCGGAGATGAGGGGGAGCCGGGACGGTCAGGACTGGAGCTGGAACCAGAAGAACCCCCCGGCTGGCGGGAGCTCGTACCCCCCGGCACCCTGCACAGCCTGCCCAAGGGCCAGGTGAAGCGGCAGGAGGTCATTAGCGGTGAGTGCCCTCTCCAGCCGTGTGCCCGCGGACGCGTCCCCCTCCGCAGAGGAGACGGTGCAGGGAGCTGTCCATCTGCTGTGGTCTCAGCAGGCAGCGCGGGAGGCCGGGCCGTTTCTCACGTAAACTGTAGAAGGGCCGCTCTGTGGCAGGGGTGCTGCCGGCAGGGAGACGTTTCTGAAGACGGTAGTAGTGCAGACGGTGCTGTGCTGGGAGCAGGAGATGTGTGTACAGTTGCATTTCTGGCGTAGCCTTTGCTTCCCTGTTGGTGAGACGTGGGCACTGATAGCTCCTGTCTCAAGGGCTGTCGGGATGAGACGTTCGCGTGGAGTGTCTAGCACACGTGGGGCAGAGTGAGAGCAGCGAGTGCAGCTGCTGCTGGTACACGGTCTCGGCCGCTGGGGGTCCATGGGGAGACGGGGAAGGTATCGGTCGTGCTGGTTCTGGGCAGAGTGAGGGAGTCTCATTTTTGTCTTGTTCTTTTCTGTGGTTTTGAATTGTGTGTATAAAGGGCATTTGGCAAAAAGAGATGCTTTGTAAGCTCGTTTGGAAGTTTACTTGGAGAAGGTCCTCATTCGGGATTTTTAAAGCCGTAGGCAAATGCTTTTTAGGTCACAGATCCTCCTAAGTACATGCTCGAAACATAAGCAGTGCTCTCAGAACTTTCTGGAATGATGGAAATGCCGATCGGTGCCTGTGCAGCACCGTCACCAGGGTCACCAGCAGCCACGCAGTGGCTGTTGAGCACTTGAACTCTGGCAAGTACACCTGAGGACTGAAGTTTGTGTTTCATTTTATTTTGGCTGCCACTGCCAGCCAGCAGCCACGCAATGGCTGTTGAGCACTTGAACTCTGGCGAGTACACCTGAGGACTGAAGTTTGTGTTTCATTTTATTTAATACTTGAAGAGCGGCATGGGGCTAGTGGCTGCCACATCCGAAGCATAGCAGGTTCTCACCAGAAAAAGAGGCACAGACACACAGCGAGGGGCTGCGGGGCCTGGCGCTCAGCACGCACCGTGGGCCCTGCATCTGGGCTGCACCCTGAGTGCAGAGGGAGTCGTGGTCCCTGAGACCGAGGCTGATTCCCTTGCTGGACGGTTGGGCACGGAGCACAGCTGCCAGCGTGCTGGCCATGGGGCGACCGAGCCGTTCTGATTTGCCCGGGACTTTCCCCGTTTGGGCACTAGCACCCCATGTCCTGGGAAGCCTGTGGTGCCAGGCAGATTGGGGCACGTCGGTCGCCCTGGCTGGCTGCCACTGCCAGAAAGGAGAGGCAGCGGGCCGGCGCCTCCTCAGTGGCGATCTCAGGGGCAGATGACTTCAACCCAGAGAGGGTTGTCCCCATCCCGTCCCTTTCTCCTCATCCCCCCAGCCTGCCTCTGAGACTGCCCCCATAGCCGGCACCCTCCCAACCACACTTCCTTCCTGCTGCCCACAGAGCTGCTGGTGACGGAGGCGGCCCACGTGCGTATGCTGCGGGTGCTGCACGACCTCTTTTACCAGCCCATGGCCGACGGGGGCTTCTTCCCCCTGGAGGAGCTACAGAACATCTTCCCCAGCCTGGACGAGCTCATCGAGGTGCATTGTGAGTGCAGGGCCACCGCCCTCCTGCCCACCCCACCACCGGGCTCCTCCTCTGAGGCCTTGGCGCCTAGACTTGGGGGTCTAGCCCGCTCTCCTGGACCCCCAAGTCTAGCACTGGGATCAACTCCGCCCCAACCCCCGGAGCTCAAATTCCAGGGGGATAGCCCACTGGCTCCAGGGGTCAGGCAGACACACCTGCAGCCCCACCCCCGCCAGCTCCCACCAGGCTCTATATACAATCTTGGGGGTCCTGACAGCACCCCCTATCCTGACTGTCCCCCCACAGCTCTGTTCCTTGATCGCCTGATGAAGCGGAGGCAGGAGAGCGGCTACCTCATTGAGGAGATTGGAGATGTGCTGCTGGCCCGGGTGAGAGCGCCCAGCCCAGCTCCACCCGCACCCCCTCCCCGCCCCCCCCTACAGCCAGGGACCTGGAAGCCAAGGGCCTGGGCCCCCAGTTCTGTCCTTCTGTCTGGGCTTCCATGTCCCACCTGAGACACCCTCTGGCCTGAATCTCGCTATAGTTCGATGGTGCCGAGGGCTCCTGGTTCCAGAAAATCTCCTCCCGCTTCTGCAGCCGCCAGTCGTTTGCCTTAGAGCAGCTTAAAGCCAAGCAGCGCAAGGAGCCTCGTTTCTGTGCCTTCGTGC